ATAGGTGCGTGTATTTATTTTTTATTTTCATTGGAAACGATATTTAAAAAGAATTCTATCAAACAGGTTTCGAGTAGATTGGCCCACTGACAAGCTATTGAGAGAAAGATTTGGACAAGATATGCCTTCAGTAATAGATTTGAAAAAGAATACAAGTCTACTGATGATCAACACACATTATGCTTTAAGCGGTGTGCGACCAAATGTACCAGCCATAGTTGAAATTGGAGGTATCCACGTTAAAAAACCAAAGAAATTATCGAAGGTATTTGAATTGATTCATAATTCTTATAAATATCGAATAAAATGTTGTTGAATAAAGTTTAGCATACATTGATAATTGGAATGGCACTTGAAAACTACAAATGATTGATCACTTTTTTCCAAATCAACTTTTACCAAAAAAAATCGATTTATCAAAATATAAGGATCTTAGTAACTAGCTTAGTAAATGAATGATTAATGATAGCATAACAAATTAATCTAAGAAGCTTTTTTTAAAATTCTTATTTAAATCATCAGAATTTATTTAGGATCTGGATGATTTTATATCCGGTGCAGAACACGGCGTGGTGTATGTCAGCTGGGGTTCTATGATCAGAGCTTCAACTTTGCCAGATGAGAAAAGAAAAGCGTTGTTAAAAGCTTTTGGAAAACTTAAACAAAGAGTACTTTGGAAATGGGAAAATGAAACATTGCCTGAAAAAACAGACAACTTGATGATTAGGAACTGGATGCCTCAAAACGATATCCTAGGTAAGCAAAGTAATTGTATTTAATGCAGAAAATAGGAGAAGATTAATTATGAAACATTAGTCTTTGGTATGAATGAAAAAAAAACATAACTTATTATCAATTAACTTTAAGTTAGCACGATAACATAACAATTTATGCCTACACATAAATAAAACACAAGATTTGATTAACAGTAATATTGATAAAATATGTCAATGAACATCAAAAAATGCATATATCATTTATGATCTGACCACTTACTGTAACAATAACAATATGTACTATTACAATTCATATTTATAGCAACGTAAGAAAGCCTAGATTTTTTTTTAACTTTCCGAAGGAAAAATTTAAGCTTTCGCCAAAAAATCCGATTTGCTAATTTTATGTTTTCTTGACGTTTCAAGCCATTCTGAATTGAATGAGACTAAATTTGGAAAAAGTATATGTGAGCCGATTTTCAAAAAATTAAAAGCAATTCGAAGTAACTTGACAAAGACTAAAGTTTGTTAGTTTTGCCAAGCCTTTTATTTGTGTATAGCAGAAAATTGAAACAATTTTCGCCCACGTTTTAGACCACAATCCTGAATCAATTTTAAAAATTCAAAAACTTTCGAGATCAAGTTAGAAGTTCGAGTTTCGAAGTTGGTTGGGAATGATACTGATTAGTTTTTGGTAAAGATTGTACATTTGGAACTGTCTTCTAGTAATTAGCTGTTGAAAAATTTGTTTTCGACGATTTTAATGAAACTTTTTTTGGCGGTGGGTACTATGGCCATAGAACATACTTAAATATTACAGCCGTACGACAAGTCGTTTATTCGAAAATTCATCTAAGTTTAAAAAAATGACCAGAATTTTTTTTGACGTTTGTTAACATTAAGCCTTTCATGGATGTTTTCTCCGAAACTGCAGCAATTTCAAGAATTTGAAAACGATTTACGGAATCGTGCCAGTATTTTCTTGTAGCAGATGCTTATTATTTCACCCAATAATTTATTAAGTTTCTTTTTCGACGTTTTTAATGAAATTTAACATATAACAGTAAAGTTCTACAAAACTTGGTTGAATTATATAAGTTCATTTTTAAAATTTGAATTAAAAGGCGCTTTTAGGACATACAAAATACAAGCACGTGTTTGTGCACCATAATTAATCTAATTACAGATATTGTAAATATGTTTGAGAGATATCAAATAAAAATCGCAATGTTCACAAGAGAAAGCAATGTTTACAAAAGAGAGCAAAAACTTTATTTTCGAAAAAAAAAAACAGTTGAAATCTAAATATTTGATCTAAATATCTAAATCTCAATTTCGGTTGATTGGTCAATATCGCGTATTACAACTATCGGGAAGCTTTCGCAACTTGCCATAAGGAAATACCAAAGGATCAATACTTAGGAAATATTCTGAAAAATATTCCATTGAATCGATTGAAAATATGATGTACAATAAATGAATGTTGATATGACTTTTATCTTCAGTCGCCAAAAATATTCGATTGTAATCGCAATACGCTATTAATAACAGGAAAAGCAAAGAATTCCAAACAATATCAAAATGTAATCAAATAAATTGTTTATCCTTGCCTAACGATATGCTTGTTTAATATTTCTTGTTTCTGTTCTCTAATTGGATTGAATATCAGATAACATTGATTTCAGTTGCTGCTTATATTAAGTTTCTGTAACATATCGTATTTCATGATTTCACAAAAGAATTTTTTGTATTATATTTCACAAATGCGCTTTGTTTTCATCTTGTTTAATCTTTGATCTTATTTCATATTTTGACCTCGTTTTATTATGTTTATTTTAATAATGTGTTCAAATATGTTCATAATTTATATGATTCGAACAAAGAATAATAAAAAAGAATTTGACTTCAATATGTTAAATACTTTTAAATATTGAAATAAAAATAAAGATTGAAATGAAACTGAAATGCATGACATACCTTAAGGCAAATTGTTGGAACTTTCCGTACCGTAATTAAGCAACAAAATAATTAAAAATTATAAATTAGGCGAAGATCGTATTGGACACTTATTTGTTTACATTAAATGTAAACATATATGTATATGAATAAATCATAGGCCTTACCTCATCACATTTCTAAGAACTATATATTCTTAACATAACATGTTTTTATTTTGAAAATTTTTAAAACTATTTTTGGTGAAATCTCGAAAAGTAAATTTTTTTTCAAAACTGTTGATTTTTTTATTTTTTTGCAAATTGGTACGGACCCCTAAATAAAAGTTCAATTTTCTGAATAAAATACAAATTTTAAAATCGCTTATTGTTTGATGTAAATAAGTTAGCTTACATAATTTTAAAAGAGTGTTTTTGGTTTCGATAATTTAAAAAGCATTTCACTTGTACTGATGGAATGAAGAACTGATTAAATTTTTGGGAAGAAATGTATATATTATAGGAACCACCGATGACACGAAAATACTAATATCTTAAGGATACAATGTAATAGCATGAGTAATTACATGTAATAGCATTACAACTACGTAGTTTGTATTTTGACCGTAATGTAGTAGTTTATAATATTATTTATAATTATTACAAATGGGTGGATACCCCGAACAATATATGTATCGCCCCATATATATATATATATATATATATATATATATATATATATATATATATATATATATATATATATTAGGTTGTCAAATATCTCCCTTACGCTTTTTTGCTCTTGGTTTAATACAAAAAGGCGGAAGGGAGATATTTGACAACCTGTTATATATATATGGGGCAATACACCAAAGAATAAAAAGCAAAGGTTTATAAATTAATCTTTAATTCCAAACGTTTCGACATTCAACTTAATGTCATCATCAGTGGATATTAACGTTAGTAAATTACATCTAAAGATGTGTACACGATTCTAGAATTAGCAGTAATATTTATACAACTAACTTGTCAACATTTTTTTGTATTAAATATAAAAAGAAAAATGATAATTTTATTTGACAAAAATGTGAGTAAAGTTAGGTAATTTCTGCCATGACTTCTGTACTTTGCACTTCCCGAGCGATTCTAAGCTTTTATTCTTTGATACCCATAAGAACTTACTCATATATATCTTAACATCAAAAATAACTACTAAATCATATATATGTATATATATATATATATATATATATATATATATATACCAATATTTTTAACTTCCCGTAGGGCAAGTTATAGTAATCGCAAAAAAATCGAAAATGAAAATTTTTATATATCTTTACGTTTCAGAGGTTTCTGAACATTTTGGCATACCTTAGCAAAAATGGATGTATGTGTGTGTGTGTGTGTGTGTGTGTGTGTGTATGTGTGTGTGTATGTGTGTGTGTATGTGTGTGTGTATGTATGTACGTGTGTGTATGTATGTGCGGATACAAATTTTCGTCGACGATTTCGGGAACACCGATCAACCGATCTGAATAATTCAAAAAACATTCGATTCGTATTGATAAGGAGACGTGCTGATTAGTTTTTGGCGAAGGCAGGTCTAGCCGTTCCGAAGATACGGGGCAAAAAGTGCCGAAAACGGTAACTCAGTTTTTAAGAGAACGGAGCGTCCGATTTGAAAAATTCAAAAAATATTTTACTTGTATTGACAAGATGTAGATTTGATCAAATTTTTATGAAGGCAGGTCTAGCGGTTTCGGAGATCTAATAAAAAAAGTAAAAAAAAAATGCCATTCGGCGGTTAAAAATGATCATTAGACATATGCACATCAAATTATCAGATATTTTATAGAGATTTTAACAATAAGTATAATTTTTTTTTACATTTCTATGGGTTCCGTACCGATGCTTATGCGTTAGACGGCGGCGCGGCACTTGCGCTGTGACATTTCGTCTCTATGCAGTTCAAGCAGTGCGATTGCTTTGAAAAAAAGTTCAGAATTTCCGAAATATGTCAAAATGAAGAAAACATTTTTTTTCAAAAAATTTTATTGTTTTAAAAAAAAAATTTTTTCTCAAAAAAAATTTTTTTTTTCAAGTAAAAATTTTTTTTTTTTAAAAAAAGTAATTTTTTGTCAAATTTATAGTTTCTCAAAAATCTATTTTTTTCGAAGTAAATTTTTTTCAAAAATGTTATTCGTTTTTTGAAAAAATAATAATTTTTGGTACGGGAAGTTCCAGCAATTTGCCTTAAGGCACGATGCCCTAATTGCCTTAAGACAGAATTCCACTTACAGCTAGTTAATTGTTAAAATTACGCGCCATTGTTTAAATTACGACTTACTTGAGAGCTTGAGCTGTATTTTCTACTACGATTTTTGCTGCGCGCCTGTAGTCGCGGCGGCGTCTTGCGATTCTTGAGCTACGGCCGATGTCACTTTTTTTTCCGTGGCATTCAGCTGAAATAATAACTTCAACGTGAAAATATTAGAACAAACAAATGCTATTATATTATAACACATTGAACTAAGTAATTACAAAGTAATTTTTAATAGAGGTTGAATAAAAAAATAAGAAAAAATAAGGATATTGCGTGGAGTCCATCTGCGCGGAAGTAGTTACAGTTATTATTATTATATTTTTTATTTTTTCATTTTTGTGGGAAGATAGCTTTATATTTATAACGATTGCAATTGGATGGATTAGGAGAACTAAAGTAAGATACAAAAAAGTTTATGATCATTTAAAATGAAATGGTGCTACCAATTACTTATTCGAAGTTGCCATTATTGTTCCCTAATACTGTTAAATTATCTTTAAAATCTGGGTTAAACTTTCTGGGAAGACGTCTTCAAATCTATAATAATTGCAATTTGATGGATTAGGATAACTAAGTAAGATACAAAAAAATTACGATCATTAAAAAGGATCGGGAGATACCAATTTTCTATATATAAATTGTTTGGACTTAAATTCAAATGCTAATTAGCATTATATATATATTAATCTTTACTGTTTATGTTAAATTATCTTTAACCTTCTGGGCAGATATCTCCAAATTAATAACAATTGCAATTGGATGGATTATGATAACAAAATTGGGCCAATTCTGCTGTAAAATAGACCAATGTTATAGCAACGCAATGTTACGCTGCATTTTTCACAGAAAACGGTACTAAAAACTATCAAGAAGCTAAGTATTTGCTGTTCAGTCAGGTGTTTTATATATAAAACCTAGCCTAGAAAGCGTACAACGTAAAAAAGAATGTTGTCATAAGTATAAGTGCATCTTTCTGATGTGTGATAATAACACATGCAAGAATTACTTCTACGCCTCATCGCACACAAATACCTAGTATTTTGACGGATTTTAGTAACATTTTATATGAAAAAAGCAGCCTTGTGTAATGTTTCCATAACATTAGTCTATTTTACGGCAGAATTGGCCCATGAGATACAAAAGATTTAACGATTATTAAAATAATATATATATTATTGATATTGATACCCCTATAGGGTATTACCAATTTTCCATATAGACCAAATAACTTATAAGAAGTTAGCAATATTAATCTCTACTGTGAAATTATCTTTCAAATGATGAACATATTAGGGGGCGTCCATTTCACGTGAGGTTTTTAGGGGAAGGGGGGGTTTGACAAAAAATCACGAAGTATCACGTGGGGGAGGGAGGCCTATAGTAAGATGTCAATTGTATTTAATTTTTAACTGATTTAAAAAAAATCAAACATTTTCATAAAAAAATAAAAAATTTCACAGTTTTATCGCGTAACTAAAAATACACGTAATGTTTGTTGGGTGAGCGGGGGTAATTTTGAATATCACCATGTATAAACATAGGGAGTGGGAGGTTCCAAAAATCCTTAAAAACTCGCTCACGTGATTAATGGACGCCCTTTACTGTAAATATAAACAATATACTAAAACAATAACAACAAACAAATCAATACTACTAAAATCCGTAAATCCATGTAATAATACTTACATGTGCATCTATTTTAAGTATAAGTAATATAAATTTTTATATACTTGATCAAACACTAATATTTATACAGCAAGAATAAATTTACTGTACTATTTTCACTAATATGAGTATAATTTATACTACAAGAAGGAATAACAAGTGAATATCACTGTGATTACAACATTGTGATTGTCACATAAATGGCTAACCAAAAACTAACCTATATCTATATAAATAAATTTTACTGGATCTTAGTTACCTTAAAACTCGAGAACTGGTGAATCGATTTAGACAATTTTAGTCTTGAAATACTCCTCGTAGTTCAGAGATGGTTAGAAAATATTTAAATATGGCATTAACAATTTATATTTAAATAAAACATTTATTGAAATGGGGAAGCACAGTTTATGGAAATCGGCGCGGTGACCTGTCAATCTGTCAAAATCATTTATAGGTTAGGTTAGGTTAGGTTAGGCTATTGGGTAATAATTATTATTATTAGTGAACAAAACCATTATTAAACGAGTTGCCAGTGTTATTATAAGCTGTGGTGTATATATTTAAATATTTTAATTTGAATTGTGTTTTTACTTTCGAAATATTAACATCTGTAAAAATTTCAACATAAAAATTCAGTTTTGGCTTTGTATAATTTTTTAATTATATTTGATAAGATGTTTTAGAGAAATGTTGGGAAAATTTGAGTTTATTTATATATATATTCTCTATTTTATTCATTAAATATCCAGTTAAGGACATTTAATAAATTTGGGGAATTATACTGTATACAAAATGGGCATGTTGGAAAAACAACTCAATAGTTGTTTTCCCATTCTTTTCTTATAATCTTAACTATTTACTTATAAATTATTTCTTATAATTAATGACTAAGTTATTTCAATCTTTATCAGGAAAATTGATGGCTTAAATCCAGTGGCGCTTTTTTTTTAACCTTTATCGATAGTTCTCTGTTATTAAGGAGTTTGCTAGTGAATTTGGGTGACTGATGAGCTTGTTTCTATATTTATGTGCTGTTTTTGGTAATACATCTTTTATGGTAGGTTTGTGTCGAGATCTATTTTGGTGCTCCTAAGGCATTTTTCAAAAATTTATTCTGAAATTTCTGTATTATTTTTATATTAGTTTTATATATAAGTATATGATTGAAACAATAAGAAAAACATTCTTTATTAATTATAGTCCTCGACACTTGATGTATTTCACTATTCAATAGATCAAACCAGGACAAAACTCTAATAAACTTGACACTGATATTAGTTATAGAAAAAAATATATTTAAAGACTTTACTTTTTATATTTAAATACATACATACATACACAATACAGTCATGCAAAAATCCATACATACACATATATGTAAACTAATACACATTAGTAACACTAACAAGTTCTATTTATTCTATTTTAATCATATTAATAAAGATATTTTGCGGGGAATTAAAAAAGATTAGGTACAAGCATTGTTCGTTGACTACCATAGCCACTTTGTTCTTCGGACTGTTCAATACATAACTTTTTATTGTTTCCGTAGTCTACACAATATGATTTGATCTCAGTCCTTGTCTCGAGCATAGATTTTTTCAAGTATCTCAGGTTATACCAGGAGAGTTGAAAAAAAAGCTGAAAAAATTTGATGTTTTGTAAAAGTGTTGGGGTAATTTAAGTGTTACATAATATACCAATTATTATTTATAGACCTATATGGTTTTAATTACTTGAACTTTTTATTGCTTTTTTTTGTTAAATTTTATTTTCCCGAATATTTGTTAGTTTTTGTAGAAATTATATAAATATTTCAGAAAATATTTTACTAATTCAATATTTTGCAGGTAAATAATTATTTTATGTATGAATAAATTTCATATCAAAGCTTTAAAATTATAATTATTATCAATTTTTAGCTCACCCCAACGTACGTCTATTCATGTCTCACAGTGGACTGTTAGGAACAACAGAAGCAGCACACCATGGGGTTCCGATGATTGCTACCCCAATCTATGGGGACCAGTTTATAAATGCAGCGGCCATCGAGTCACGTGGCATGGGCCGAATTTTGAACTACGAAGATCTTAATGAAGAACACATTACTCAAACATTGAATGAAGTTCTGAAACCCAGGTAAGAAATTATATTCGCAAAATACCATGATCACATTATGAGTACTTCATTATGCTTCCGGGCAAACATTCTTTAGCCATAAAAATATTTCTAGAAAATAATTAATTGATTCTGACACAAATTAAATCAATAGTTTACCCACTGCAATGCAGGCCACATATATATGTTCCTGAGACATATTAATGAAACAGATTTAATTGAAATTTCACTTTCACGGCGCTTGATATCAATAAAAAATAATTTCAATCATAGTTAACAGACTGTTACATTTGCAGTTATTTACAAAACGCTAAGCGAGTTTCTGCCAATTTCTTAAACCGACCTCAATCACCAATCGACTTGGCCGCTTGGTGGACAGAACGTGTAGCTGAGGTAGGCATCGAAAGTCCACCTCTTTGGAGATCAGAAGCTGTTGATATGTGCTGCATCCAATATTATATGTTGGACGTGTATGCATGTTTATTGGTAATATTTTTATTTTTTATGAGAATAAGTGGCAAAATTTTGTCAAAATTTAGAAGAGATAAACAAATTAAGGTTAAATTGCAATAATAAATTAGAGAAATTCTGTATTAGGTAAGGCAGAATTTTACCATTAGATAATGTAGATAATTTTTTATGATCAATTTTTATATAATATTGTTTCTTAGTGTTATCCACACAGTATACGATGTAAATTTACTTATATACTCAATTTACTTGTTTTAATCAAACAAATAATACAAACATGGAACTTTACATTCTATAAAATTATTGTTATTTTTAAATTAACGTTTATGGTACTTCAAGATTAGCAATTCTGGAGAATTTAAGGATTCAAAGAAATACTGAAACTTAATGAATATTTTTCGCAAAATTTTGTTAATTTACTTCACATAGTTATAGTATGCGATTCTGAGCATTTTGGCATAAACCAGAAATTGGGATTTTATTAATTAGAAAGAGTTAAAGAACTCAAGTTTCGAAAACTACTGACATGAGTAAGAATAATGATAATATGTTTAGTTACATAAGTAACTTAAGTTACTAAATGTAAACAACAGTAGTTTACCAGTAAATTTATTTTCTTTTTCTTGAACTGCCAATAAGCCTACAAGTTTGTCTATTTCACGCAAATAGTTTTAAATTTATTTAGTGCTGAAAATTTTGAAAATCAAGCAATTTTATTGTAGAATGATTACCATTGCAATTTTACACAGCAGTGTCAGTTTAGGGTATTTTCAATTGAAATCTTATTTTGGTTTAGTATATTTTACTGATATTGCTACTCCATGATACCGAGTTGTTTGGAGAAATTGAGTATCTTCCGATCATAAAGTACAATGCTTTCTGCAATGAAATATGTCTGATTAATATATTAAAAGTATTAATGAACGATGATTGATAATTTTTAAATTCATAACATTGTTTTATTGTTTAAATTTAATTTATTAAAATATATAAGTTTACATTTTTCTTCTTATTCAACAAAAAAAAACTAAGATTGTTGAAGATCAGTTTTATAATTCATATATCAAAAAGGTTTTGTGGTATATGTATAATTTTAGTTTTGGCATGTATTTGGTCACAGATTTTCTTTGTGAGCACCAATAATATATTTGGTAGCTGGGCATCTTTATTGCATTAAAATGAACTTGGTGCTTTTACAATTTTTGTTTGGTCTCTCGACAAATACATAAAAATTATTGATTTTTGTGTACCAATTTTTCACCAGTCCTTTTAAGCAAAATGACGTAGATTCTTGATTTGGTATCTTACTTTTATGTTCTTTATTAGATATATAAACAGTCCATGCAAAATTTGATCCTGTTTATCAACAATTCAATTAAATTGTATATTCAAAATTTAAATGTGAAAGAACTTCTGTAAAACCGACAATTATATATCCCAAATAATATCAACTGATAGATTATATGATTGCCAAGATTTTTTTTTAAATATTTTTTTTTGCCCAATTTGCCTTTTCTTAAGTTGTTATTAGAATAATTTCCACTTCGGTATTAAAATGAGAGTTCAAATTTGCAGAGAAGACGAAGGATTATCTGAAAAAAATTATCTGGCTAATTTTGTATATTAAAAATTTATTTATAATCTTAACTACTGATGTGTATAAGAATTAAAAGAAACACTATGCACTGCAGTAACTTCCTGAAGCACTAATTTAGAATTTAGTAAAAAATTCGCTATTTTCTACTAATAAAATGAGATACTAGTAAACTGAATCGAAATCATTTTGGTATCGATAGATTTGCAATATAATTTGCAGTTCACATTTGTCATTTGAAAAGTTATTTATAATAAACATTCATTAACTGTAAGTTTTAAAGTAAAGAGACCTGATATGCTTTAATATTATTTGGTCTTGGTCATTAGCTATTTTAATGGCGTCTAAACCTTATTTTTAACTTCCGGTAGGGTAAGTTATGGTAATCGCAAAAAAACGAAAATGAAAATTTTTATATATCTTACCTTTCAAAGGTTTCTTAATATTTGGCATACCTTAGAAAAAATGGATGTGTGTGTGTGCGGATACAAATTTTCGTCGACGATTTCAGGAACATCGATCAACCGATTTGAATAATTCAAAAATCATTCTATTCGTATTGATAAGGAGACGTGGTGATTAGTTTTTGGCGAAGGCAGGTCTAGCCGTTCCGAAGATACAAAAAATGCCACAAACGGTAACTCAGTTTTTAAGAGAAGGGAGCGCCGATTTCAATAATGCAAAAAACATTTTACTTGTATTGACAAGATGAAAAACTGATTAAATTTTGGGGAAGACAGCTCCAGCGGTTATGGACTCTCAATAAAAATAATTTAAAAAAATGTCATTTGGCGGTCCAAAAAGGTTTATTGGACTTATGTACATCAAATTATCAGATATTTTACAGAGATTTTAATAATGTGTACTCATTTTATGTAATTTTTTTTGGGTTCCGTACCAAGATTTTTAATTACGGTACGGTTCCAGCAATTTGCCTTAGGGCACGATGTCATGCACGCCAAGGGCCAAGGATTAGTAATTCAAGAAGAGAAACCGTAAACAAAAGATAATATTTGGTATTTACAAAATGTTATGGCTCGTCTCCATTGCACGAATCCGTACGACGAATCTGTTCGCAAAGTGCACGTGAGAACACGAACACAAGATTTTCCATGCGCATTTGTGCAATGGAAACGCACCATTATAGTGTGACACTTGATAAAAATAAGTGTGCGACTTTAAGGTTATGCTGGCGTTACTAAAAAATTCGTACACTGCCAGTTCCTATAGTGAAGCGTCGCGTTAAGCTTTATTATTATTTTTAATAGTGAATTTGTCTTATTTTTATTATCAGTAATTAAAAAAATCAAGCTATAAACACATATAATTTTTGGTATTCAACAAAATGTCAAGTAATAAAATGTGGCACTCATTAGAATGTGCGTTATTAAGGTTATGCTAGTGCAAATAAACATCCGTACACTGTCAGTTCCTAAAGTGAAGCAACGTGTTAAGCTTTATTATTTTTATTAACAGTGATTTTGTCTTATTTTTATTAATAGTAATTCAAAAAGTCTAACCATAGATTGAGATAACATTTGGTATTTAACAAAATGTAACGTAATAAAATGTGATACTTATTAAAATGTGCGTTAATAAGGTTATGCTAGTGCTAATAAACATTTGTAAACTGTCAGTTCCTAAAGTGAAGCAACGTGTTAAGCCCCATTATTATTTATTCTAGATCATTAGCTAGTCGATGGTGTTCTACCTAGACAAAATTAGAATACGATGTATTCAAATATTAGAATACGATGTGTTCTAGTCTTATTTTTATTATTAGTAATTCAAAAAGTTAAAACATAAACAAAGTTATTATTGAGTATTCAACAAAATATTAAGTAATAAAATGTGTCACTTATTAAAGTGTGCGTTATTAAGGTTATGTAAAAGTGCATCTAAAACTGGCAAGTGCAAATCAAATTTTATATGGAAATACATTTCAGCAGCTAAATAAGGTAAAAGTTTTATTGTTTCAAGCAGAAATTATACTTTTAAAATAAACAGATTTTTTTCTAAATAGCTAAATTTCAAAATTATAGTTGAAGTAGATTTACACAAATCGGTATAAGTATAAGCAACTGCATACTTATTTAAGGAAAAATCCCACTCAACTTTCTTATATTATACAGACATAGTCTCAAAATATTCCATCATCTTAAAATTTGATTTGATATGTTTTGTGTTTCTCCAAAATCGCAACAGTCGTCTGATTGAAATGTATGACGAATATACTCGTCAATACACTAAATTCTGCCATTATACTTGTCAAGCACACATGGTTAATCAATTTCATTTTTAAATACATACTATCATTTCATTTATTAAATGTTGTTAAAAACAATTACTAAAACTATGAATTTTTATTAAAAAATTTATTAAAAAATATTTGTTTTTATTTTTATTTATGTTTCTTCTTATGTTCCCGCAGAAGTTCATTTTTTACGAAAATATCCGAATTGTATTTCCTCGACGTTTTAAGTCATTCTGAATACATTGAGACCAAATTTGGAAAAAGTATGTGTGTGTGAGCCATTTTTTGACCTTTTATCAATGCTTTCCCAAAGAACGGATGAATCGATTTCAATAATGTAAAAGCCATTCGATAAACTCGATCAGGGATCGCTTTGGTTAGTTTTGCGCTATGATGGGCTGAGCAGAATTAGCAGAGAAGTGCAAAATATTTTGTCCACATTCTAAATCGATTTTGAAAATTTAAAAACGATTCTAAAGGTATCATTACATTATTGTTTCATATTTTTGATGGAAATCTTTTTTTCGGACTTCAGGCTCAAAATAATATTTGAGCTATATGTATATAATACCGTCAACCCTCCTATAACGCGGTACTCTGGGAGTGAGGTTTCTGTACTATAGAGCAGTAATTGCGGCAGCCGTTTGATAATTTTTCATTTCAATATTTGATAATTTGAATTACTTTAATCATTTCTATAACATGGTTTTCGTTCAACAGCCTATAAGTTTAGGGACCGATTCTGCCGCATTACAGAAAAATATTATGGCAATGTCATGTTATGCTCCAACTACTATACATTATGCTACTAAATCATACTGAATACTGTCAAAATGTCATGTATTTGCTGTGCATTCAGGCGTTTTACACATAAACTGTAAAGTCACTCGTATGTTATGAAGCAGTGTCAGAAACATCCTGCTATCTAAGATAATTTTTTGACATTTGTGCGGTTTCAAGGTTAGGTTTTGTATCTGACAACCTGAGAAATACACCTGACTGCACACCAACCACATGGTCTTTTCAATATTTAGTATAGAAAGTTTTTCATAACATGGCCCTGCTATAACATTTTTCTGTTATGCGACAGAATCCGTTTCTTAATTTCATTATCGATTGTTTTATCTTATACAATATGCCATATATACAAGACACTTTATATAACAGCTGTGTCATGACTATTTAAGAGAACGTTTTAAGAGAACCGGAAATTTTTTTTGAAGGCAATAGGTTTTTAATTCGGTTTTTGTTTAATTTCTTTTTATCATATCATTATATAAATTATTCAATAAAAACTAATTAATAACTGATTAATATGTTTTATCATATCTTTATATGTCCCTTCACTTCAATAAAAACCAATAAATGTCATTGGTCTCCATATAACTGCGAGTTCTGCATTTTGTACTGGTTGTGAGTTTCTTACAGGACAGTTATCATACAATGCGATAGTCGATTTCCAAAGAACGCCCTACGTTATCGGAGGGTTGACTATATTTACTTCTTAGACTACCTAACAGCAATTTCATAAGT